TCACCAAAAATTAACAAAGAGTCAGAATAAAGCCAAATTAAGTTTGCACACTTTTAGAAGGTGCACTAACGATTCCAAACATTTAAAATAGTTTTTGAACATTTTAAGACACTTTAAAAATAGCGAAAATGGACATCACAAAACCATTGAAATGCATTGAATAGGCTTCAATACATTCCAATGGGGGAAACATTGTATCGCTTAGCAATGTTTCCTATGGGGATTTTCGCTTAAGGACGGCAATCCGTTCCTATTGGAACGGATTTTCCAGTTTTCAATGCATCTCTATGGGAAAACGTGTTTCGCTTAGCGATGTTTTCCCATAGCGATGTTTTTTTGGAACCAATTAAAATCGTTAAGTGAGGCACCACTGTATACAGATGTAATGGATAGAGCTAAGAAAGAATGGATTGAAATATGGTCAATAAATAAAGCAGGTGGGAGTAAAATAAGACAGTTATGGGACACTATGAAAGCGGTTATGAGAGGAATTTCCATAAGAGAATCATGTAGAATTTTTAAAAAAATGATAAGAAAATATATAAAAAGAAGAATCATTAAAAGATTTAGAAAATAAATATTTTACAGATAGAGATAATAAGAAATTATTAGAGATTCAAGCTAAAAGGAGAGAGTTAGAAAGCACAGAGTTAGAAAAAGGTCCAGAGGGATTTGATATACTCGAAGAGGAATTTTTTCGAGTATAGTAATGAAAACTCAAAGCTTCTAGCTAGGGTAGCTCAAACTAAATGATCAAAAAACACAATTGGAATGATCAGAGTTAAAACAGGGAAGAATTGTAGACTAATGAAGGAAACATTAATGATATTACAAGAATTTTACCAAAATTTATATAAAGGTGCATCAAAAGAAGATATAGAAAATTACATTGAAGAAAATGTAAATAGTAAACTATTAGAGAATGATAAGAGAATTAGAAAAAGAGATAAAGGACGGAGAGATTACAGAGGTTATTAACAAACTAAAAAATGGTAAAGCTCCAGGCTTTGATGGAATGGGATCAGAATATTATAAAGCTTTTAAGTCAGTACTGATCCCCAAGTTAAAAATACTTTATAATGGAATATTGGAAGGAGAGAAAATACCAGATTCTTGGAAATAATCATTAACAACTCTTATTCCAAAACCCAATAAAGATTTGACAGAGCCAAGTTTATATAGACCTATTTCATTATTAAATCAAGATGCAAAGATATTTACTGCAATATTGGCAAATAGAATGAACAAGTTCATTACAAAATGTATTAAAGAGGGTCAAGTGGATTTTTAAAGGGAAGACAAATGGAAAATTCAACTAGGAGGGTTTTGAATATTATATAGAATATGGAAAAAGATAAATCAAAGGCAGGTATTTTATCACTAGATATTTTTAAGGCATTTGATTGCGTAGAATGCCTTTTAAAGGGTTGGGGTTTTGGAACGAAATGTAGGGACTAATAGACCAATTATATTTGGAGAACACTTCTGCAATAATTGTTAATGATGGTATGACAGAGCAGATAGCTCTAGGCCAAGTCACCAGACAAGGTTGCCCTCTTTCTCCAGTTCTGTTTTATTTGATTATTGAAATGTTAGCCAATGGTTGAGTTTCAATTGGTTTCTATCATAAAATGAGCCAAGTCTAATGCATCTGTTAGAAAGCCTTCTATCATCAAAAAGCTATTTAACTGAGCAGCAAGTACAAGATCATCAGCATAAATAAAGCTTCTAGTGTCTTGAGGAAGTGGTTGATTATTGGTATAGATATTAAACAAATAGGATCCACTGTGACGCTCTATGGTAGACAGTTCTGTTGAATTCTCCATTCAGTGAAAGTTAATGAAATAATTTGTTTTACAAAATGGTTTCTGTTACCTTAGATAGCTTGTAATCCTTAGATTGTAGAATTTTTGTAGTACCACTTGATGATGAACAGTGTCATAGGCATTCGGGAGGTCGACAAAAGTTATCTTTGTAATCTTAGTTTCAAAGCGTCCTTAACATGTTACTTTAAAATGCAGGATTCCTGCTGTATTCTTCTTCTGTCGTCTAAAACTAGCCTATAGCAGGACGAGGAGTGATGCCACTGCCTCTATTAGATAGGGAAGCATAGTTGTTTCCAGGACTTTATAAAAATGATGATGTAGTGAGATTGGCCTGTAATTTTTTGGATCTGTGGGATTTAAAATAGAAATCGCTCTTGACTTTTTTCAAATTTTTGGAATCCTGAGAGAGTCAAGAAATTTCTTAAATAAATTATGCCCCCCTCTTTTTTTGTTCCTGTGCCAAAATGTTTTTTAAATCTATCCTGCGCAGATGCCATATACGTCTGCTGCCGTGCCATTTCTGCAGGTACAAATAGCTTTTTCCAATTTGAATAGGTTGAATGGTCTTGTAAAGTCATTGATCTCCACTTGCTTGTTTCTTTCAAGTTTAAATTCTAATATATTGTGGCAGTGTTTGGATTTGTCATTAATGAGGAGCTGATGGGCTTCTAATTTATGAAAATATTCGCATAGGTAGGGCCTTTAGTTGGATTGTTGTTAATATCCAGGCCATTTGACTGTTTCTTGATGTGTATTATCTCCCATGAGTTGTATCCAGTTATCTCTTTTTGTTTCTGGGACTGAAGAAATGAATGACTGTCCAGCAAAAATGGTTTCTTCATTAAAAGGATTTTGTTCAGATAGTGAAAAATAATTATCCATTTGTGCAACTATTTCTGACATTAATCCTTAGAGGTAGTTGATTCTTCATCCTCAGGTTATAGATAGCCAGGATGAAGTTTTCACTGCCACAACAAACTGGCCATAGACCTCTGGGACTGGACAAATGTTTGATATAATTCTGTTCACTGTTGTACTGAACATCATCTGCCCATCAGGTTTTTAAAAATTATATATTCTGGAAAATGGTACCGTTGGTGGTCAGACAATCTCCAAGTATTGTCAATTATGGACCAGTGCTGTGTATTTGAAATCGGGGTACAGGCTGATTTCATGCACTCTGGGTTATAAACTCACTGGCAAATATTGTCTGGGTTATAGCCATGTTGCCGTCTTCCACTATTGAAAGATGGGGGAAGTTTGCTGTTGTGGGTAAGGGCTGGTTGGGCGGTTTCCAAGGTGTTACACACCACTTCTCCATTGTTATAATCAAATGCATATCCCCAGACAATACTGTGGCTATTGAAGCCTCCGAGTATGAAGTGCATTTTTTGCTTACAAATATTGTCAGGGTGTTTAAAGGCGAGTGTTGCCTTAAGTGTTTTATAAACAGAGAGTACCATACAATTACCAAGCTCCACTGTTATTATCTCTGTATCATCCTGTTCTGTGATGGCAGTAGATAACATCTGGAGTTCAGACTTGATTAACACAGGTTTTTTTGTAATACCTATGAGGTTTCCCAGCTACAAGTCTCATGCTAGACATTCTGAGAAGCCCTCTAAGTTAATAGAAATCATAGTTGATTTCTATGGCCCATTTGTTATGTATGCACGCTTGTGAGCCACTGTCAGAATCATGTAGTCACTCATCCAGTGGTGTTTGTACAGGAGGCCACTTTACGTTGGTGCTTCTGGAGTAGAAGGATCAGCTGACCGTTGCTGTCATGGCCCAGGGATGCTCAGTTGTGTTCACATTTTTGAGGGGTGCTCCTTCCATGCCCCCCAACATGTTAAGTTGCAACCACCTTTATTCCTAGCCAGCAGAGCCAGTAGCCAGGCTAACTGGAGATTGAAGGTAGATACAGTCCGGCGCATTGGAAAGGCTGGAATACGGCGTTGGTGAGAACTCATGCCTTTTGGATGCAAGACTTGGAAGCTCCCGAGCTCTCTCAGGGACTTCAGAGCTCCTGAGCCACTTAGGCTATAGTGTTGCTGCTGCTGCAATCAGGAAATCTGCAGGGATTTCAGAAATCATTGTTTTTCTCAGTTAGAGCTCAATAGTTAACTGTGTTGGCAGTATTGCCAAGTCCATTTCCCCCCTCTTTGCTACTGCTTCCAATATTTCATTCTTAATTTGGTTTTGGTTTTCCTTTTCTCTTTCCCACATTCACTCTCTTTTCTTTTTCTTGGCAATAGCAAGACGCATAGCTATGTACCAGGAAGCTGATTCCGAGGACGAAGAAACCGGACCGAAAACAGGGACCTTGTCTCAGCGGGAGAGTATTAGCAGTCATCAGAGTGTTAAAGTCGTCCACAGGAACCAGAGCACAAAATCTCATAGGCGCACAGGGAGCAGGGTGGAGGCCAAAAGGGCAAGCATTCTGTCAAAGCATACGGCTTTCAGTAGCCCCATGGTAAGGGCCCACATTCTTATTGCTTTTCTTACACCAGTGCCTTCCTGCTAAACCGTTGTTGTAATTCAGCAGATCTAATAGTGTGTATAATTTTAAGGTACATAACCTTTGAGCTACCAGGCCAAGGGCAACCCATGAGTCACAGATACAGTGCAAGTTTGTGAATTTTGATTTATTTATTTATTTATTTTCACTTTGTGCAAAAACAGGGTGACATTCAGGCACCTGGCTGGCCACAGTACATGGCCAGTAGGTGGTCACACTTGTCGGAAAACATCCCTGACAGTTGCTTTGTGTTTGATTTCCCATCACTTAACTGATGGAGAAAGGAGTCAGCTTCTGAGATTTTCCCCTGCTTGGTGTCACTCTCTGAATAGTAGTGAGCACAAGAGGGTGTCCTGTAGATCATCTTGACTTCTGCCATTGGTGTTGTCAGCATTCAGGCTGGCCTCTGCTATGTAAAGCTTGGCATCCTTTTTCCTGCTGGCAGCACAGGCATGATACTGTGCAGCAGCATCAGGCTATTTCCTGACATTTTGAATCATGGATACTGAAGCACAATATTCCACATTTATAAACTAGAGGTTTTATGAAGAATGGAATCTTCCTCATTTGATGCAAAACTAGAGGTTTTTGAAGAATGGAATCTTCCTCATTTGATGCAGGAACACTACAGTAATTTAAACTTATAAAGTGGAAAGTGACTAGCCATTCGTAAGTGGAGTTAAGCCACTCCCAGTTCAACCTAATTCAATATAAGGCTTCAAGGCTGTCATATTTAAGTCTATGAAACTCAAGGAAGCTTGATTTCGAGTAGACATGTACAGGACTGTGTTGTTCATCTCCTTTACTTAAAATATGATGTGGGCTTTTCTTTCCCACTTTATTCTCCTCCACCCGCAACATCATTAGGGTGCCTTATTTAAATTGTATCAATGTGTTAAAAATAGCAGTTTCTGTTTAGCTGTGAATTTTTAAAAGCCATTTCTGTACTAACTTTAGTCTTTCAAAACAGAGTTCCCAGTGATCAAGTTAAAATATTTAGCATTTAAGAATCTCTATAGACAAAACAGTGCAGCATGTTTTAAATCTTTTTGTGGGAGCACGGCGCTGCTGGTATGAGATTGCATAACCCAGTGACCCTCCAGTACCCCCACAAATACATACACCAGGGGGTTAACATGGAAAGCTAGATGTAAAGTCAAATGCAAATAGGAAACTAGGAAGCTTTAGCGAATATCTCAGTAATCATCATCATCATCATCATCATCATCATCATCACCTTAGCTGGAAGGGACACTATAGATCAGTGATGACAAACCTATGGCACAGATGCCACAGCTGGCACGCGGAGCCCTTTCTGCCAGCACGCGAGCCAGAAGTCGCCGGATCACTATTCCCTCCCTCCGCAGCCAAACCTGAGCAGGCAGCTGCAACTGCGGTGCTGGTACCTGGACAGGCGGCGGGTCGGTATCCAGAGCAGCTGGTGCTGGCGGCGGATCCAGAGTAGGGCCTCAAGGCACCTCCGTGCCCAGGATTCCCCCTTCCGCTGCCACTTCCGATTCCACCGCCATCGCACACTACCCCCTGGTTTTTCCCCCAATTTGGGCACGCGAGCCCAAATTCGCCACCACTGCTATAGATCATCAATTCCAGCCCCTGCCGCAGTAGGAAATCAAACTCCCAACCTGTGGCTCTAGTGGGACAGTTACCTAACCACTGAGCTATCTAGCAGTTCATAATTCAATGTTATTTAATAAAACATTAAATTTTCTGTGCATTGTTAAAATGTTAATTGCTTTCAAATGGAAGGCTGTTTTCTAAATTGGAATGTCATAATGCAATGGAATATACAGTAGCAAAATTGCAGGGTTAAGGTAAGAGTGTCTAGAACAAGAGCAAAATAGTTTGAAAAGACGATTCCTATTTTGAAAAGGCAACTTGTACACAATCTTCATCCAGTTCAGTTAGGTTAAACATTTTGATAGTGCAGGATCAATTTATATTGCTGTTTCGGATTTGACGTACCCCGGGCGGCTGCCTTCCTCCGAGCCCTCACTCGCTGGAGAAAGACCCCGGGACAGCCCCGGCAAGGAGGCCATGCTGGCTGATGGTGGAATTTTGCTTTGCTATGATCGGTTCCCAATCATAGCAATCTTTTTTAACAGCTGATTGGCAGTTTCAAAATGGCCGCTGGCTGTTTTCTGGGACGGATTCTTCGCTTACCGAGCAGGGAAAATGGCCACACTATGGAGGATCTTATTTGAACTGTGAGTTTGAAGCCCATAGGAACGCATTAATCGCGTTTTAATGCGTTTCTATGGGCTTTTTTGTTCTGCATAGCGACGAATCCGTATAGAGATGATTTTTCCAGTATACAAATGCATAAATAAAATACACTCCAGGCTTTGTTTTAAAAAAAAAATCATAGGAGGAAAGATAAAGAATACCTCACAAAGCATTGCTACAAACTTAACACCTCACTTGCCAGTAACCACTTTCACCTAATTCTGTTGTCTTCTGTTACTTGTTACTTCCAGTTAGTTCTTGTCACTTAGAAAAGAATATAGTCAGCAAGGCTCAAGGAGAGTTCTATCATAATATTCCATTTCTTTTCCATATTGCTGCCTCACTACTACCACTAGCAATATGTTGTAATATAAACACAGTACAGTAGGACCCCCTCCTTATCTGCAGGATCAGTATCTACTAATTCACTTATCCACAGTCTGCAAATATTAAATAAAATATTAAAATCATTAAAAGAAAAAATGCAGGGGAAAAAAATTCACATGTTTTACCAGAACTGTCCATAGAGGAAGCCAGAGAGTGTGCTATGAAGAATGCATAGCATGGTCTCTGATTGCTTAAGGCCTCTCCTTTTGTGAACTTTCTCCCGGGAGGCTCTGGAGTGGCTCCTCCTGTTAAAAATGTTTTAAAAAGATGTTTAAAAAAGCGCAAGTGACGGGCAATATAGGCAGTAAGCGGGATGAGGCATCTCCAGCCAGCTTGCTTTGCATTGAGGCCTCAGGGCACACCAGCAGGCAGCTCAGCATGCAGGTGAGAGGCCCTCCTAAGGGGGCAGTAGCCTCCCTTGGACAGGTAACCATCAGCTTTGTGGATTGGACAGAGGGCAGTGGGGCTTTGTCCCTATATTTTCCAAATAGTTGGCGAGAGTGGGGAGTGTTTCTGGTTTAAGGAGGGAGATGTCTGTGATAATCCATGTTTTTCTGCATTCGCGGGGGGTCTTGCTACCAATCCCCCTCAGATATAGAGGTTCTTACTGTAACAGTTTTGTTTCACATACAAGGTGCTTGTCTAGGAAGAGTTTAATGTGGCTCTACCAGCACAAACTTGAGACAGCATTGCGGTTTGTTTTAGAGACCTGATATAGTATCTTTCTCTATATATAATGGTAGTGGTCATAGCCAAGTACTTCCCTTAATATGATTGACAGGTCCATGGTCAAACGTGGCTTTTAGTTTGCTCTTAGGCTCCCACATTAATTGCCCAAACTATAAGTCATAAGAATGATCATTTAGCTTGCTTAGACATGCTTCCCAATTCCACGCTTCCTGCGAACTAGAAAATGTTATTTTTTAAGCGGAAGACCTAGATGATGACTCTTTGGGGCGAGAGAATGTGGGTTAGCTCAAAGAAACAGATGGGATTATCAAAGATACGCTTGATAGAGCACATCTGTAAAACAAGCTCAGTTGGGAGACTCTGAAAGGTGCACCAGGGGGAGAGCGGGGGAAACCATCCTGCTCGTGATTCACATTGCCTGCCTTTTTGATTCTAGGAAAAAGACATCACACCTGATCCGAATCTGCTGCAAAAAGTGAATGAGTGTGCAAGCTACCTGGAAATCACGAGGAACCATGATCATCCATTATCCCAGCTCTCCCCTGAACTCTCTGACATTTTTGACTTTTTCATAGCTTTGACAATTTGCAATACAGTGGTGGTGACATCTCCAAATCAGCCACGGCAGAAGGTAGGTTCAGTGGAAGACTGTGTAAAAAAGGTTACATTCGGTTTAGGATTTACTTTTAGTGGGTCTGATCAGGAGATTACCATAGGATTTTGTATAGCTACTCCCAGGATTCTTTACTCAAAGTAAATCCTACAGGTTCAGCACCTCTACTTCCAAGTAAGTTTACATCCCAGTGCAGTACATCTTCTCCCGAATATTTAGGCCTAGATATTTCTTAGGGCTTCCTTCTAAGTATTGTTTAACTGGTTAAATTTAATAGCAAGGAATCTTGCTTCGTACTAGGGGATGTAGCTGACTTCAGATGAGCTAAAACTGTATTAGTTCCACTCAGTGGAGTGGATTTAACTGTTACCCATCTCTGCCTTTTGCATGGAAACCAGTAGTTAGCCTCTCTGAATGGACACAAACATACACAAACATTCACAGTGCTTTGTTTCCCTAATTTGCGCTGTCAGATAGACATGTATCCAATATCTCACCTCTCTCCTTTCTTGATGTTTGCTCCTTTCTCCCCCCCCCCCCAAGGTTAGACTCAGATTTGAACTGAAGTCTCCAGTAAAGACCATTGAGGACTTCATTCGGAAATTCACCCCGAGCCGCCTGACCTCTGGTTCAAACAGCAGCAGCTTGTCGAGTCTGGCTGCCAACCGATCGACTCAGCGAGCTGGTTCAAGCATCATTTCATCAGCATCCACGGACAGCACTTTACTAAAACTTGAAGAAAGGCCAGCCAATTCTTCTCAGCCAAGTAACAATGGCTGCAGTTCCCAGCAAACCAAAGGGGCACCAGGGAATGGGAATGAGCCAGAGGAGGGGGAACTGCGTTATGAAGCAGAGAGTCCAGATGAGGCTGCCCTTGTGTACGCGGCCAGAGCGTATGACTGTGCTTTGGTTGGTCGGCTGCCTGACCAGCTATCAGTAGAGCTCCCTCACTTGGGGAGGTTAAACTTTGAACTCTTACACGTTCTGGGCTTTGACTCCATCCGGAAGAGAATGTCAGTGATTGTCAGACATCCCCTGACTGATGAAATAAATGTTTACACAAAAGGAGCAGATTCAGCCATCATGGATCTTCTTCTGCCCTGTTCTTCAGGTATCACTCATGTACAGTTTATGCTCTAATAAAACAGAACAAATTGAGCTTGATATTCTCAGCCACAGCACCAGTAGATCTGTCTGTTGTAAATTTTAAGCAATGGCCATAGAATTTTCTACCTTTATAGTTCTTGTAGAGGCAGCAAGCTTATAGCAGTTCTTTTGCCTGAACAAAATTTCCCTCAAGTACAGTGGTGTCCCGCTTGACTATAATGCATTCCAGGAAAATCACTGTTAAGCGAAATCATTGTCAAGTGAAAAAACCCCATTTAAATGCATTGCAAACCGGTCAATGTGTTTCAGTGGGGGAAATACCTCATCGTCCAGCGAAGATCCTCCATAGGGCAGCCATTTTGGGATCCCTGTCTCGAGAACAGTCACTCCGGAAAATGACGGGGAGCCATTTTGTGCACCGCTGATCAGCTGTTTCTGATCGTCGTCTAGCGAAAAACCGGTTCCCGAAGCAGGGAACTATTCATCGTAAAGCAAAAAAAACCTATAGAAACATCGTTTTGTGATCGCTATAGCGATCGCAAAAAGGTCACCGTAAAGCGATTTCGTCATCAAGCGGGGTCATCGTCAAGCAGGGCACCACTGTATTTAGACTTGGCTATCCTCTGTTGGGAAATTTTGTCTATTCCCTTTAGTTAGCAGAGGAAGAAATATGGTGAGATTGACTCAGTTTTCATTAATCCCTTCCCTTCCCCCCCCCCAAAAAAACCCTGGAACACTGTGTGGTATAAAATCACTCTAGAATCATTTAAGTAGAAAGAAAGGTTTCTGTATGTACAAGTAACATCTGTAGTTAGTCAGAAGAATAAGAAAGGAAAAATGGAGTCTCCACAATATGGAGAGAGAGTCCTCCATGCTTGTTGCTACCTGGTCAGTGGTCAGGGAAGAAGGAAGAATAAAACAGTGGAAGCAAAGTGAACTGACAAAAAGAGGGTTGGGGGGTTTACCACAAATGCCAGAGGCAGGAAAAAGCTTTATCAATAGGTGAACAGCTAATCACTTTAGGTTGTAAAAGCCCTCTCCCACTGATGCCCAGTGTTAGTGCATGCAAGATTGTTATTTATCCAACATTTCCACTTTAGTTTATATTCCTTGTAATCCTGGCAGTGTGAAGAACTCTTCCACTTTGTTTTCTTACCTAGCCTTGTTCTCTGGCCATTTGCTTAAGTTTAGAATACATTCAGAAGACTACATACCACTTCTGCATGTTGACTCCAGTGCAGTTAAAGCTAATGGGGATTCTTTTGAAAGCAATGGAGGTCAGCTGCAACTAGCATGTTCCACTGCTTTTTATATAGCATATTTGTGAGTTGCGGGTAACTTTAAGTGATCTGGGCCACTAGATTTTTATTGTTTTCTTATGGCAAGATCATCTTGAAAATGTGCAGATAGATTTAGATGATAAATATTTGTAGGCACAAAGTAAAGCATTAAAAGTCAGTTTTCTCTCTTTTTGTTTTTTATCTTTTAGTCTACTGACCAGTTGTGTTAATGCTTAAATACATTATTTTATTGGGGTACCAGAGCTCCTAACTTAATCCTGAGACCACCTTAAAAAACAGGTTGCAAAATATATCTTTAGGAGCATATATAGATGTATTTTTAACCTGGTTTCATTATTTATGGGTCCCACTATACGAAAGGAAGTATCTGTGTTCAGGAATGCTCTTTAAAGTTGCTTCCTCAAATAATATAATATACTCTGAAAGCATATTAAAAGCCATGTGAGTGTCATCAGAATTAACTGGAATGTAAACAGTGGCTTCCTTTTCATGTCTAACATTGCTGGGAAGAAAACTATGTGTCAGCAGGACATTCCTCTGAACCCATGTTTTGGTCCTATCATAAGCCCTGTGCAAGTGTTCAAAGAATGTATGTGGATGCAAAACAAGGAAAAGCTGCCATATCCTTGCTTGCTCTATTCCCAGCTTTCCAGCATTGATGACATAGGATTCCTGACCTAGCAGGAAAGTACAGTGGTGCCCCGCTTGACAATTACCTCTTAAAATGATGAAATCGCTTCCCGACGATGTTTTTGCGATCGCAAAATGATGTTTCGAATGGCTTTTTTCGCTTGACAATGATCGGTTCCCTGCTTTGGGAACCGATTTTTCGCACAAGGACAATCAGAAAACAGCTGATCGTCGGGTTTCAAGATGGCCACCTGCGTTCCAAATTGGCTCCCAGCTGTGCTTAGGAGGGCTTTTTCGCTTTACAGGCACCGGAAAATGGCCACCCTATGGAGGATCTTCGCTGGACGATTAGTTATTTCACCCATTGGAACGCATTAACCGGTTTTTAATGCGGTTCAATGGGTTTTTTCCTCCTGCTTGATGACGATTTCGCTCTACAGCGATTTTGCTGGAACGGATTATCGTCGTCAAGCAGGGCACCACTGTACCTTAAATGTTCCTTTCTTTATACCTTCCCACTCAAAACGGGAAGGTCAAAGGTGGAGCCAGCTGCTGTATCCTAGAAACAGAAGTGGGGCTGGAATCCTCTGGGTGTTATATGGCCATACATATTCCATGAATTTCTGCATAACACATTAACTGAAATCCAGTAGGAAGTCACAACTACAGCATGCCCATTGAATCAATGCAGATTTGGTGAGATGACTCCTCTGTAAATTCCATTGATTCAGTGGGCTGACTCTAGTTGTCACTTACTACTGGATCTCAAACTTTCAATAAAGCTAATGAGGATAACAGCATACCGCAGAGAGCCTGTAGTACGTAGTTGTGAGAATGCTAAACTGGGATTTGAGCCATACAGATTTTAGTCTGCACATGGCAGTAAAAGTCATGGAATGGTCTTGGTTCAGACACCAGCTTGTGGAGCTTGACCAACATTACTTGGTTATTGTGAGGAAGAAGAGGAGAAACGACATGTGCATCCTCTTGAGCTTATTGGAGAAACCTTGGCTTTCCAATGCAATTAATAAATAATGCAAGCATGGTGAGAGAAGAGACTATAAACTGGTGCAATAAGTCCTTTGTTTTCACACAGAATCTGCGAGCTGTGTCGTCTTGCTAAAGACTCTGTTTTACAGAGCAGTGGTCCACTATGGGGGAGGGACTGTTTGCCTCTTCTTCTAAATCCGGCCCCCCACAATTTTGTATCATCCTTGCCAAGTGAAGAGTTCTGAAGACCTCAAGAGCTTGTCTTATTTGTAACTTTTTAGTAATCCAGTAAAGATATTAAAGGTAAAGGTTCCCCTTGACAATTTTTGTCCAGTCGTGTTCGACTCTAGGGGCGGTGCTCATCCCCGTTTCCAAGCCATAGAGCCAGCGTTTGTCCGAAGACAGTTTCCGTGGTCACATGGCCAGTGCGACTTAGACACGGAACACTGTTACCTTCCCACCGAGGTGGTCCCTATTTATCTACTTGCATTTGCATGCTTTGGAACCGCTAGGTTGGCGGGAGCTGGGACAAGTGACGGGTGCTCACTCCGCTGTGTGGATTCGATCTTACGACTGCTGGTCTTCAGACCCTGCAGCACAGGCTTCGGCGACTTAGCCACGTCCCTAGTAAAGATATTACTCAACCCAAAATTTTGTTTCTACAGATGAATCACCCAGCTATGTTTTTCTTTGTGTAGCTACTGTAAATCTGTATACAGTGATGCCTCGCAAGACAAAAATAATTTCTTCCGTGAGTCGTTTCGTATTGCGAAAATTTCATCTTGCGAAGTGTGGTTTCCCATAGGAATGCATTGAAATTTAATTAATGTGTTCCTATTTGTCTTGTGAAGCATGGCCATAGAAAAATTTGTCTTGCGAGTCACCAAAACCATCACAACACGCTTTCGTCTTGCGAGATTTTCGTTGCGCGAGGCATTCGTCTTGCGAGGCATCACTGTATACTGTTTGTAGCTACTGTATATCAGTGCATGTAGCTGAGTAATAAACATTTATTTTAAAATGTTGTAAGAAGCATATTTAAAGAGGAGATTAAAAATTATATATACAAAATAATTGTTTCGAGCAAAAGGGCACAGAGCGAAAGGAAACACTGTGCCCTTCTGGTCAAAACAATTACAGAGTGTTCATATTACTCAGAAACAGTGCTTTTGAGGCTTTATTTCCAGCCATCATAAAAAGAAAAGATCACGAGACTTCTGGCTTGATGCCGCAACAAGGCAGCAGCAGGAGGACAGAGCTCTATCCCCTGGGCTAAATTCTGACCTGTTTGGGCCACCCCACGGTGTCGAAACCACCCTGGAGAGGTGGTGAACTGGGGGGGGGAAACCTGTTGATCATGGGTGGGGGGGACGGAGGTCATCCCCGTTTGATCCAGGAAACTCCCTAATCAGCCAACGGGCAGAAACAAGCAGCTTAAAGCTCGCTTGCAAGTTGTCGGCAGCCAGCAAATAAGAGAAGCAACAATCAACTATTCAGCATCAGTGTTACTATCGGGTGAGATATATTTTTACAACTAATTGCTTAAGATTACCCCTGGAGAAGACAATTCCTATATACAGAAAAAAGAACCTCCTATCAATCTCTTCAATCATAGAGCGGCAGGAAATCTGGAGAGAGGGATAGTTGATGCAAAGAAAATAACTTATAGATTAATGGGACATTAACTACTCATTTAAATACATCCAAAATATACTTTAAGAATATTATAATTTGGCATTATAAATCTTAAGAAATTTTCTCATAAGTTATTACTAGATAAGTCTGGACTCATGTTTTGACTATTTGAAGCCTTTGGCATAATGCCCAGAACAGTGACCCTGAGTATTCTACTGTTGTTTAAAGCTTGGAAACCTGTTTTCCATTTCTTTGTGATTTCTTCATGCCTGACTGGAACATAGATAAATTAACCCTAAAGTGGATCTTTTTAAACTGTACCTTGGGAATTAGTATATTGAGCCAAAGTGAACTTTTTGGAACCACCTCCAGGGACTTGGAATCACAGTTTTGGCCATGCAGAATTGCGGGAACTAGGCCACCAGGATATGGATACAAACATTGAACTGGACTGTGATATTTGGGGCTTTCGAACCTCGTTCCAGGCCTATTTGGACAAAGTAGATCTTTTGAAACTGCCCCAGGAGCTGGAAGTGCTTATGTTTGACTAGGTGGTGTAAACCTGTAGAATTAGGCCATCAGGCTGCGGATACCACCATTGCATTGTACCATTGCACCTTGGAGGTTTAAATTTTGGTTCAGGCCTATTTAGCCAAAGCGGACTCTTTGAACTGACTCTGGGGACTTGGAATATCTGTTTAGCTGGCATCAATTTGCCAGGGATCAATTAGGACACAGATACAATCATCGAACTGGACTGCGAGTTGGCCTAAGCTCTTGGGTAGCTGGAACAGAATGGCACAACAAGGACAATTTTGGAATGAAACAAAATCTACCCTTCAAACAATACTAGAAATAGTGAGATCCCACTACCAAGAGGCAAAGTTATTCAATGAACATCTGAAGAATTATAGTCAACAAG